ACGCAACCGCGCAACGCTCGAGCGCGAGCGTGGTTGCGTTGCGACCTTCCCTCGCGAGTTGCGCTCTCCCGTGCGCGAGTTGCGCCCCCCCTCATGCGCGTCTAGTGCGCCTTTCTCAGGGTGCCTCATAGGGTTCTGCGGCAGTGCGTATGTGATCCGCATCGTATCCCATACAGGCTGTATGGGATCTGTATCGGATCCTATACAGGTCTTATGGGATCTGTATCGGATCCCAGACAGGCCGTATGGGATCTTTATCGGATCCCATAGAGGCGAAGGCTTCCGGTCCATTTCGGCACACCCTTCACACAGTTAGTGGCCCCACAGGTGGCGCAACGGCGCACCCTCAATCGGTTCGTGGCCCCACAGAGGGGCGCCACCGAAGGCTTCGGGTATATTTCCGCACGCGCCTCACACGGTTCGTGGCCCCACCGGGGACGCAACCGAAGGCTTCGGGTACATGTCGGCACAGCCCTCATGCGGTTTGTGGCCCCAGAGGGGGGGCAACCGAAGGACTCGGGTTCATGTCTGTGCACCCCTCACGCGGTTCCTGGCCCCACAGGGGGCCGAAGGCTCCAAATCCATTTCGGCGCACCCCTCACACAGTTCGTGGCCCCACAGGCGGTCCCACCGAAGACCTCAAGTCCACTTCTGCACGCCCCTCACGCGGTTTGTGGCCCCACAGGGGCGCAACCGAAGCTTTCGGGCCAAATTCGCCACAACCCTTACACGGTTTGTGGCCCCACAGGGGGCGCGGCCTTACAAGGGGGCACCAGCGCAGGCGTTGGGCTCGTGTCGGCACGCTTTTCGCACGGTTCGTAGCCCTACAGAAGACGCTACCGAAGGCTTCGGGTCCATTTCGGCAGACCCCCCTCGGTTCGTGGTCCCGCAGGGGGCTCCACCGAAGGCATCGAGTTCATTTCGGCGCACCCCTCGCACAGTTCGTGGCCCCACATGGGGTTCCACCGAGGGCTTGAGGTCCATTTCGGCACGCTCCTCGCGCGTTTCGTGGCCCCAGAGGGTGGCGCAACCGAAGCCTTGATGCCAAATTTGGCACACTCCTCGCGGGTGTGTGGCCCCACAGGGGGCGCGACCGAAGGCCGTCGCGGCCCCACAGGGGACTCCAGCGAAGGCTTCGGGTCCATTTCGGCACGCACCTCACCCGGTTCGTGGCCCCACAGAGGGCGCAACAGCGGCTTCGGGTTCATTTCGGCAGACCCCGCACGGTTCGTGGCACCGCAGGGGGCTCCGCCAAACGCTACGAGTCCATTTCGGCACACTTCACACGGTTCGTGGCCCCGTAAAAGGGTTCCAGCGGAAACGTCGGGTATATTTCGGCGTGCCTTTCACACGGCTCGTGGCCCCACAAGGGTCCTCCCGCGAAGGCTTCGGGTCCATGTCGGCACACCCCTCACACGGTTCGTGACCCCACAGGGGGCACAACCGAAGGGGGTCCATTCTGGAGCACCCTTCAGAGTCCCCAGTAGGTCTTGTACCATCTCCATAGAGTCCCCAGTACGTTTTGTACCATCTTTATAGAGTTCCCAGTAGGGCTTGCACCATCTCTATAGAATTCCCAGTAGTTCCTGTTCCATTTTTATGGAGTGCCCGGTGGGTCCTTTACCATCTTTGTAGAGTTCTGTAGAGTTTCTCGTAGGTCCTGTGCCATCTCTGTCGAGTTCCTAGTAGGTCTTGTACTATCTCTACAGAGTCCCCAGTAGGTCCAGTACTATCTCTAAAGAGTCCCCAGTAGGTCCTGTACCAACTCTAAAGAGTCTCCAGTAGGTCCTGTACCATCCCCATCGAGTCTTCAGTAGGTCCTGTACCATCTCTATAGAGTTCGTAGTAGGTCCTGTATCATTTCTATAGAATTCCTAGTCGGTCTTGTACCATCCCTATAGAGTTCCCAGTAGGTCCTGCATCATCTCTATAGCGTTCCCAGTGGGGCCTGTACCATTTCTATAGAGTTCCCAGTCGGTCCTGTACCATCTGTTTAGAGATCCCAGTAGGTCCTGTACCATCTCTGTAGAGTTCTCAGTTGAAGCTTGCTTCGCCAGCGCGCACATCGATGCTGTTTCCAGTATCCCATCGGGCAGCTCTGTAGTATTCGCTGATAAGAGCCTATGGTAGGACCAGCAGTTGCGCTGTTGCGGTTGCACCCCCGAACACGTTCCTGCCTTGTTGTTGTTGTTGTTGCTGTTGTTGTTGTTGTTGTGGTTGTGGTTGTTGTTGTTGTTGTTGTTGTTGTTGTTGTTGTTGTTGTTGTTGTTGTTGTTGTTGTTATTGTTGTCGTTGTTGTTGTTGTTGTTGTTGTTGTAAACTGGGGGGCTGGCGACCCAGTGAGAGGCTCAATATTTACCCTCGTAAAAGACAGGGTACGAAGCCCAGGTGGGGCAATTCAAATGAAACGCGCCATGGGCACCTGCGGGCTGAACCCAACGCAACAGCAACGCAACAATGCAACAACAATCCGCACCGCAGAACCCCACTTCAGCCACGCGCTCAGGGACAGTGAATGACCGTTCGGCGTCCTCACTCTGATCAAATTGAAAGAACCGTCCAGCGATGGCCTTGTCTGAAAAAAAGATCTGCTCCCCATCCGTGAAAATGTGGCACACTGTTAGACAGGTGTGGTCACAAAAACCGCGGTTCTCTTGAGCGAAATGCCCCCCGTTTGAAAACGAGCCGCCCTCCAGTCGTGTGGCTGCTGCACATGCGAGGAAGTCCCGGTCGAGAGCCGCATTTACAGACAGCACCAGCCTCCACCCCGGTAACAGCTGAAAGCTTTATGACGCATGAGCAAGGGCGCCCTCGAGGGCGCGAAGTTATTCGCGCTTCGCGCTCCGCGGTTCGGCTCCGATTCCTCATCCTCCTCTTCTTCCCTTGGGAGGCGGCGCGAGAGCGCGAAGTTGTTCGCACTTCGCGCTTCGCGCAGCGCGAAGTTGGGAGCCCTAGATGAGCGCGGCGCTAGGGCGAGAGCTGCATTGTGAAAACCACCCGCCTTCCATCCGTGCAGCCGTCGGAGCTTCTATCCGCAGGGCCGTCGCCCTCTGCCGCTGGCGCCCCTCTTTATATCATAGTGGAGCATGCCGGAGCTGTGCCGAGATGCCTGGGCGCCGTCCTGCAGCGATACCGGAGCCTCGTGCGAGGGCGGCCGGCAGTCGCGTCTCAATTTGCACGGGATCGTGGCCTCGGGGGTGCGAGCCCGATGAGATTTGCGACGGGTCGTCGCTTCGGAGGCGCGACGTCTGGCGTAGTCTACGGCGGATTCTGGCCTCGGGAGCGCGAATGCGGTGTAATTCAACCTGGGCTCTGGCTTTGGGAGCGTGAGTTTGAAGTGATTTGGGAAGGGGGATCTGGTTCCAGGAGCGCCAACTTCATGTAATTTACAAGGGATTCTGGCTTCGTGAGCGCGTATCCCGCTCAATGTGCCAGGGGTTTGCTCTTTGAGCGCGAATCTGGTGTAATTCAATATGGAGTGGCTTTGGGAGTGTGAATTCGATGTAATTTGCAAAGGGATTCTGGCCTCGTGAGCGTGAATCGCGTGCAATGTGCCAGGGGTTCTGGTTACGGGAGCGCGAGTCTGGTGTAGTTTACGATGGAGTATTGTATCCGAGGCACGAATCTCAGGTATCTTTACGTACGCGATTCGGGGACGGCAGCCTGTTCTTTCTCGGTCCTACCTCCCCTCGCGCAGACAGTGACGATGTACAGTAGGAAACAGAACATATAGTTATTGCAGCATATTGGATACTGTAAGCTGAAGCCCCCGCCTCGCACCCTGATGCCCCCACACGGGGGCCGGCGGATCTACCATAGGTTGGAAGGACGGCTGAAGCGAAACACTCGGCCCGGCCTACAGGCACCTCTGGTGGTGCGGCAGGGGGGGTTATTTACAAGGTGGAGGGAGAGGAGGAGGAGGCTCTGGTGGTGCGGCAGGGGGGGTTATTTACAAGGTGGAGGGAGAGGAGGAGGGAGAGGAGGGAGGGAGGGAGGGGAGGGAGGGAGAGGGAGGGGAGGGGAGGGGAGGGGAGGGGAGGGGAGGGAGGGGAGGAGGAGGAGGAGGAGGAGGAGGAGAGGAGGAGGAGGAGGAGGAGGAGGAGGAGGAGGAGGAGGAGGAGGAGGAGGAGGAGGAGGAGGAAGGAGGAGGAGGAGGAGGAGGAGGAGGAGGAGGAGGAGGAGGAGGAGGAGGAGGAGGAGGAGGAGGAGGAGGAGGAGGAGGAGGAGGAGGAGGAGGAGGAGGAGGAGGAGGAGGAGGAGGAGGAGGAGGAGGAGGAGGAGGAGGAGGAGGAGGAGGAGGAGGAGGAGGAGGAGGAGGAGGAGGAGGAGGAGGAGGAGGAGGAGGAGGAGAGGAGGAGGAGGAGGAGGAGGAGGAGGAGGAGGAGGAGGAGGAGGAGGAGGAGGAGGAGGAGGAGGATGATGATGAGGAGGAGGAGGAGGAGGAGGAGGAGGAGGAGGAGGAGGAGGAGGAGGAGGAGGAGGAGGATGAGGAGGAGAGAGGAGGAGGAGGAGGAGGAGAAGAAGAATTGGAGGATTGGAGGAGGAGGAGGAGGAGGAGGAGGAGAGAAGGAGGATTGGAGGATTGGAGGATTGGAGGATTGGAGGAGGAGGAGGAGGAGGAGGAGGAGGAGGAGGAGGAGGAAGAGGAGAAGGAGGATTGGAGGATTGGAGGAGGAGGAGGAGGAGGAAGAGGAGGAGGAGCCAGACGTCGTCAGCTACAGTGCTGGGGATGCTGCGTGCGAGAAGCCACCGCACGGCGACAGCGGAGCCTGACGTCATTAGCTCTAGCGCTGGGGAGTCCGAGTGCGAGAAGCTACCGCAGTCTAAGCCAGGCGTCGTCAGCTACGCTGATGGGGAGTCCGCATGCGAGCAGCAGCCAGGGCAGCGGGTGCGAGGAGGAAGTTCTCAAGGGGAGCCGACGGCGGACGGCGGTGCCACCGCCCTCGAGAGACGCCGCGCGGTGGGCCCCGTGCTCCAGGAGGGCCGCCGCGCACAGCGAGGTGGGCTCGAGGCACAGAGTGCGCTCAAAAGGGCACGGAGGGGGCGCTCGGGCCGTGGTGCGCTGAGGCCGAGAGGCGGGCCCTCCACGCTGGCACCACCCAGACTCAGGTCAGGGCTGCGTGCCTGGAGCTCGTCGGCCGCCTCCCCAAGGATCGGTTGAGGGAGGCTCTCCAGCAGAAGGCGGCCGAATACCGGTATGTACGGACGAGCTCCCAAACGATCGCCTGTTCGAGCGGCTGTGCGACAGCGCCGCCGCCGAAGGACAGCCCGGAGTGGCGGTCGCGTGCGACCAGACGGGGCGGTGCGAGCAGCTGTTCGACAGGGTGTACACCACCGCGGCGGCAAGCGCCCGCGGCCAGAGTCCAGAGCGCTTCGAGAGAACCGGGCGGTTGCGGAAGTGGCCACGGGACGGCTGCACGAGAGCAGGCAGGTGGCTGGCGAGACGCGCGCGGGAGAGCGTGCGGAGCGGCCACGTCCACCCGGAGTGCTGCACGGGGCGGAGGCCTGAGCGGCCTCCCCGACGCCGGGAGGGAGCCGTGCGGGCGGCGGTGTTGCTTGCTGGGCGCGGCTGGTTTCTCCTGGTGTGTCCGCGGCGGGGTCCCAAGGGGCTCTGTGGGTCCTGGGGCCTTCTGGTTCTGGGGCCTCCTGGGCTTCTGGGTTCCTCGTCGCCGTACGGACTGTCCTTGCGTTGGATCGGCAGCACCTTCGGGATCGACTGTCGTCAGCGAGCGAGGATGGGTGAGGATGGGGATGAGGATGAGGATGAGGATGAGGATGGGGATGAGGATGAGGATGATGATGATGCTGATGATGCTGATGATGATGATGATGAGGAGGAGGTGGAGGAGGAGGAGAAGGAAGAGGAGGTGGAGGAGCTGGAGTACGAGGAGGAGGAGGAGGAAGAGGAGGAGGAGAAGAAGGATGATGAGGAGGGAGAGGATGATGATGATGATGATGATGATGATGATGATGATGATGATGATGATGATGATGATGATGATGATGATGATGATGATGATGATGATGATGATGATGATGATGATGAGAGGAGGAGGAGGAGGAGGAGGAGGAGGAGGAGGAGGAGGAGGAGGGGTAGGATGAGAAGGAGGAGGATGATGATGATGACGATGATGCTGATGCTGATGCTGCTGCTGCTGCTGCTGATGATGATGATGATGATGAGGAGGAGGATGAGGAGGAGGAGGAGGAGGAGGAGGAGAAGGAGGAGAAGGAGGTGTGCGTGGAGCTCCGCCGTGGCCAAAACCAATGATCGGAGGAGGAGACGTGGGGTCACCCCCGAACTGCTAGGCCGCGGCGCCCCACGTCTGGCGGACACCAGCAATGATGCCGCTCGGCAGCCATCCCCCCACATGCATGCTTCAAAGAAAGAGGAGGAGGAGCAGGAAGAGGAGCAGGATGATGAGGAGGAGGAGGAGGAGGAAGAGGAGGAGGAGGATGAGGAGGACGAGGACGAGGAGGAGGAGGAGAAGGAGGAGCAGGAGGAGGATGCGGAGGAGGAGGTGGAAGAGGAGGAGGATAAGGACCAGCGTAAACCGAACATTCATCACTGACAGGCCTCTTCCAAGCTCCCTCTTCAGAGGCCTCTACAAGGATTCATTGTTATTGCCAAAACGCTATTCTCGGGATTGCAACGCCTGCGGCGTGGCGATCCGGAACCGCGCCAGAACACAATTACCCGGGGTTTCAACACCGTGAATCAACGTAACTGTTGTGCGTTGACAATCCTGAATCGCTGCAAAACACAATGCCTGGTACGTTACCATGCGAGCCTGTGACATTCTTGAATGTTTTAAGACGGGTGTGCTCGGCGCCGACGCGAGAGCCACATTTCGAAAAGGAAACGCCCTCAATCCATGAAGCTCATGCACATGTTTTAGACGAGTGTGCGCGGCGGTTATGCGAGAGCCACATTTCGAAAACCACCCGCCCTCAATCCGTGAATCTCTTGCACATTTTGAAGGCGAGTGTGCGCGGCGCTAATGCTAGAGCCACATTTCGGAAATCACCCGCCCTCCATGTGTGTTTTTTTTGGGGGGTTCAGCTTCCTGTTCACAACTGGTGAGGAAGTCTCCGGCGAAACGCCCGGCCCGCCTTTTCGACTGGACTAGGGGTGCGACAGTGAGGAGCTATTTATAAGGAAAGAAATGGGGGATGAGGTGGAGGAGGAGGAGGAGGAGGAGGAGGAGGAGGAGGAGGAGGAGGAGGAGGAGGATACTGGCTTTCGGGCCAAAGCTCGGGCCTCTGGCGGCTTATCGGGACGATCCGGGCTCTCCGGAACGCCCCCGACGAGGGCATTCGGAAACAAATAACCATCAATAACTAAGGAGAAAGAACATCAGGGAAAAGATAACGAGGAGGATGCCGAGAAGAAGGACGATGATGTTAGCACCAGCTCGCGAGGCGTCCGAGTCTGGCACAAGCTTTGGCTCCGAGGAGGAGCATTCTAATGCTGATGCTGTTACTGCTGACATTGAAGATGCTGCTGCTGATGACGACGACGATGCTGCTGCTACTGCTGCTGCTGATTATGATGCTGCTGCTGATGATGATGCTGATGATGATGCTGATGCTGATGCTGATGATGATGCTGATGATGATGATGGTGCTGATGCTGATGATGGTGATGATGCTGATGATGACGATGCTGCTGCTGCTGATGATGATGATGAAGAATGTGATGATGACGATGATGATGATGCTGATGATGATGATGATGATGATGATGATGATGATGATGAATGTGCTGCTGATAATGGTGGTGGTGGTTGTGGTGGTGGTGGTGGTCAGGGGCAGGAGGGGAGGAGGAGAAGGACGAGAAGGAGGATGAGGAGGATGAGGAGGAGGGTGAAGAGGATGAGGAATTGAGTAGTAGTAGCGGTAGTAGTAGTAGTAGTAGTAGTAGTAGTAGTAGTCGTAGTAGTAGTAGTAGTAGTAGTAGTAGTAGTAGTAGTAGTAGTAGTAGTAGTAGTAGTAGTAGTAGTAGTAGTAGTAGTAGTAGTAGTAGTAGTAGTAGTAGTAGTAGTAGTAGTAGTAGT